TATTGAATGTAGTGGTAGATCCCAACATGTGAGCTGAGCGTCGTGTGCATAGAATATTGAATGTAGTGGTAGATCCCAACATGTGAGCTGAGCGTCGTGGCATAGAATATTGAATGTAGTGGTAGATCCCAACATGTGAGCTGAGCGTCGTGTGCTTAAAACATTGAATGAAGTGGTAGTGCGTGTGAGCGAAAAGCGTCCCCAATTAGTGCGAAAGCGCTAGAACGACTAGACACTTAAATAAAGTGATTTATTTTAAAGTGATTTTACTTGCCCTRGATGTCAAATTGAAAAAGATTTTTTTAGATAGGAATTAAGGCTTGACATATTATTAGTTTCTAAGCTCCATTTCCTGGATTCACACCTGTGGTTGTGATAATTTGATTTTGTTTATATTCAGCTTTGAACTCAATGAGCTGCTTGCACCAGGATCATGGGTCGACAAAGTAACGACTTTAGGATCACAAGGCACCTTGAACCTACTCTCACTAGGGTAAGAGAACAGACAATGTAAACGCGTACGAATCTTTGGGAAACAGAGTATAGTATATTATTCGGCCTTAACCATTGTCATTAATGAGATATGGATGCGCACTCCGACCGGAAACGAATCCAGCAGCGATGTGCCAGGGTCGATATCAACCCGGCTCAAACAGGGTGGGTGGATGGGTGGGTGCCACACATAGTTCGGCTATCTTGTTCAACCACGCCAAAGCACGCGTCCTTTACTTAAATATCAGTTCCCAACCAATGAGCAACCCCTTCAATCCCCCAGGGACCGGGAAGTACGTGGGAATGCTATGAATCATTATAACTGCGGCAGAATATTAATATCCAATGGATGGTATAGCACTACACAAATCAAAACAAGGAAACCAATAGACCTCCTCGGGTCTGACGTAATGTTTTCCCATTTCAGACCACGTGTCATTCCCTAGAGTATCATTTCTTTGTTTAAGGTTTGCGCTCGGTTGCACATGAGAAGACACATGAATATGGATACAGCTCAAACAAAGAATCTTATTCTCAAGAGAATGTGTCATTCCCTAGAGTATCATTTCTTTGTTTAAGGTTTGCGCTCGGTTGCACATGAGAAGACACATGAATATGGATACAGCTCAAACAAAGAATATTATTCTCAAGGGAATGACACGTGGTCTGAAATGGGATGACATTACGCTCTAGCCGAGGAGGTCTATGATCAGAAGTATTAGAATTATCAGGGGGAAAAATGGCAGTTGTTTTAGTCTGTCAGAGGGATTTTTAGAGAAGCTAAAAAACCGTAAGTACTCGGTTTCCCATCATGCTTTGTGCTATAGATTCGTGCTCGTGTACATTGGCTATTTCCAATGAAAGCGGGCAGGCTTATGAAGTAGGTTTATGTCTTTTTCCTCTCCTCTCCTCTCCTCTCCTCTCCTCTCCTCTTCTCTTCTCTTCTCTTCTCGCCATTCCCTTCTCTCTTCTCCATGTCGAGGGATTTTTCCAGTTAAACCTTCAAATCTTATCGATTATCTGAAACACGAACTTCTTGGCTTTTTAACGTCAGGGTACGGCTAACCCACAGATTAAATTGAGAATGTTTCTGCCTGCCCTACATGTCTGTATCTTCTATACCTTATAGGTGGCAAGAATGGCGGCTTGACGTCCAAGGATGTTTACCTAAGGACCTCAGTACCAGAGGGGTAAGTATTGCAAATAGATAATGGAGGAAGAAAGTAAAGTAGGAAAGAATCGATGGATGGATGGATGGATGGATGGATGGATGGATGGATGGATGCATGGATGAATGGATGAATGGATGAATGGATGTGAATAATAAATAAAATAAATGATAAATAAATAATAAGTGATAAGTAATAAGTAATGAATGATAAATGATAAGTAATGAAAAAGAAATGATAAATGATAAAAATAGAGGTATTCTGTTTATTATATATTTATCCATAAATTCAACTTAATAAGCTTTTTATTATTATAAAAAGTTTTTATCTATAAACTAATAGCTTAAATACACATGATAGAAATTGGGCATTTTATGGATAATTATATGATAAAAATGAATAATGAATAATAAACAATAAATGATAAATGATAAGTGATAAGTAATGAGTAATGAGTAATGAGTAATGAGTAATAAATGATAAATAATGAATAAATAATAAATAATAATAGCAATAAGAATTACATTGCTTGTTTTATTCGTGCAGGTAGATAACCCGGAAGTCTTGCCTGACTATCCATACCGTGACGACTCGCTCCCTCTCTATCACTCCATAGAGAACCTAGTACGCACTATAGTCTACAATAGATATCGTAAGTATCTACTA